CCCATGTCAACTGACTGCGGAGACTCGCCCTCTTATTCTTGCGACCCACATTTCATGGCCTGGTGCATCGTTTGAGGACGCTGCGGCACTCGGCGTCGTCCTTGATTGACAGTGAGTTGATGTACTCTTGGGTACAACCGACGACACATAAGCTGCCATTTCGAGATCATTGCCATTTTCCAAAAGCCAAGCCGACAAAGGATATGGTAGAGTTCATCGTCTTGGATATGCGTGCAAAGGTGTACGCCAAGTTGGTTCCATCGACCACCTGCAAGGACGCCCCATTCGTAGCAGCTGAAACCCTACCCCTTTGTACCCTCGATACACTTGTATTTGCTTCCACGCCAACGAATTCCTTGACGTGCACATGGTAGTTAGTACTATAGCACGAACAGCGGCTGCGTCTACTTGGTCGTCCACGCCGTGGCCTCGTGGTACGCCATACCGGTGCCCGAAATGTTGTCACCAAGGCCGCACGTGTGATCCGGCTTCTTGCACGCCAGCATCGGCGCAATATGGCACGTGAACGCGCCTACATCCACCAGCATATACGTTTCGCGTCCATACGATCCATATGCAACACGCACCGTGCGTCCACGTCTTGATGGGCGACCGCGGGTCAATGTCCCACATAACGTCCTTGGTCAGCGGCGTCGACCGCGGTAAGAGCACCTACGCCATTGGTATCACACGCTTGCTGCCACGTGAACCATACCTCGACAAGGGACGGTTCGAGCGTCATGTCTTGGCTCATTGGGCCGTGCGAGCGGTCGCCGCACGCCAGCTTGGAGCTCATGAGCGCGCTTTGCATGAGGGCAACCGTCGGCGTCGCCCAAACCTCCGTGTGGCACAGAATGTGGAACTGAAGCGTGTGGAAATGGATCCGGCTGAGGCGGTGGAGCGGTGACCCCGCCTTCGTGCGCGCCGCATAGTCGATCACATCGCCGAGCTGCGTCGTGACGGTCTGGACGCTCGGGCGCGACGACGTCGTGACCAATTCATCGCCTACAGGTTTTTGTGAGTTCACGTCCGACCAAAGCATCAATCCAATGACGTACCTGTGACAATGAAATGGTGCAGAATCGCGAGCTCTTGCTCGTTAAAGCCAACGGAGTCGACATGCGGCAAGACGAGCTTGACCGTGTCGTCGTAGAGGGTAAAGTCTAGACACTCCTTCAACCTAGCACTTGAGCAAAGCGATACTTACCGGACGCGGCGGCAAACTCGTAATGGGTCAACGTCGGGACCGCTTGGAGCACATTCGCCAAGGCTTGGAGACGCTGCACACGGCGGGCTTCGTTCGTGTCGACTTCCAGCAGCTGGAGACCGCCAATGACCACCTAGAGCCACATCAACATTCACAGACAAGGCCAGATCGATCGCATACGAGGTCGGCGTCAAACGAGGGCAGCGCCGCGGCAAACTCTTCGAGGACCGAGAGCTGCGCGTTGTAGACGTCGTGGTTGAGGTAGTAGCGGTTCGCACGCGGCGAAAGGAGGTTGCGGAAGGCGTCGTTCTTGGCGTACTCGAGCACGAGGTGCACGTCTTCATGGCCGCCTTCGTCGACCGCGCCAACAACGTGGACGTTCTTGTGAAAGTGGCCACGCATCTCGTCGCCAACGGCGCCGCCAAGGAGCACGTCGCTGGCTTCGTACGCAGCGCGCTGCGCCATCTGCGCCGCGTTGCCGCCGATCGCTTGCGTGACGCCAGGCAGGCTCTTGGCGAGCTGGACGACGTCGTGAAAGGCGTCGGCCGACGACTAGGGACATCCGTGTAGAGAATGAGAGGTAGATAATGCGCTACCATGCTCTGTTCGGCTGCCGCGCCCTTGGAGAAGTAGTACCCAAAGCTCTCTCGGAGCTCGTTGGTCGAGGCAATGCGCTCGTGGTGCTTGGCCGCAATGGTCTTTGTCATCGCGGGCGTGAGCTTGGCCATGAGGTCGACGGCGCGAACGCTGACGTCGAGGTCGGCCGAGCAGCAGAATGCGAGGCGGTTGCGGTGGCGCGCCGGCAACGGCGTCCCCAGGAACTCCATGGCCTCGAGGAAGAGGCCGTGCTCGGCGTCCGAGAAGGTCGTCGGCGTCGAGGGCACGAGCGCCGAGAGCTCGTCCACATACAGGACGGCGACCCAGCAGAGACCGGCGGCCAGCGCCAGCGCCACGAGCTGCGACGCGCTGTACATGCTGTCGGTCGGCTGTTGCGAGATTTTTTGTGGCATCCCCACAACACCATGGCCATCGTATCCGGATGAAACCCATCTGGGCTGCAGCGACGTGGCAACTTCAGGTGAACCTCGCTGCTCCGCCTGCCAGGTGCAGATGCATGTATAATAGCTACTGCTGTTATAAACCCATAGTGTACATAACTGTCTATCAAAGCATGTCTTTTCACGTATCTCGCGGTGTCGATCGCTTGGCAATAGCTCGTTGGCGCGGCCAGCTGTCGCGGAGCTGACAAGTGAAGAAGCGACCCATCGTAATAGCGAGGTGCGTGGCCTTGAAGCTTACACAGCTCTCTGTCCGTGCAGCGTGCCATCGCTGCGCACGGCTATGTCATGTGGTGTAGTAGCCGTGAGCCCATAGCGATCCTCACGGACCGTTGTTGACGCGACAGCCTAGCTCGCTCGACGGAAGCTCATGTCCAGAGCTCTCTGCAAGCAAGCGTCCTTGCATCTATCGCTGGTTGCTTTGCCGTAGAATGGAACTTCGCATTGCAAGCAGCACAGAGAGACTATGTACTACGCAGCCTACCACCGTGGTCGAGTCCCTTGCATTTTCGTAGAAAATGCTGCGCAACGGCAAGTCCATCACAAGAGAGACTCTCGTGACGCTTCAGTCTGCCGTTTGCCTGCTACGACAACTGCACCATGCCAACGATGACGACGATGACGACGGACACGTGCGCCTGCCCCGACTGCCACTGCGACCCGTGCCTCTGCCGTGTACTCGGCCATACGTGCGGCTGCCCTGTCTGCCGCTGCAACCCGTGTCTGTGCCCCGACCGCGTGGACGACTGAGTAGTGACGCTAAGGACCGGCAACACGAATGATGGACTGCAATACGCGATTCTAGTCGGCTAGATGACGAGGAAGAGGTCAAGGCGGTTCTTCAACGCTGTGACATGCGGGATACACGCATTGCCATTGGCTTAAAGTGACTTGAAGCGACCAATCGGCGCATGGTATCAAGGCGAGGTTTGCGCAAATCAAAGCGGGGCCGCAACGCGAGCTGGACGTCGTTGTGTAGACTGTTCGTTGGTGTAGACAGAGATATGGCTGCGGCCATTGCTAGAGGGCCCTCCACCCGCCATGCTGCCAATCACCACGAATGGCGAAGGCCTTGCTTGCGCGAGAGCGCCATGCACGGCGTCAAGGGCAGCGCATCAGCAGTGATATCCGGATCAAACGTCGCTGTCTTATACACGCTGGCTGACGTGATAGCGCAGTGCACAAGCAGCGCGAGCGCCGTCGGCAGCAGCGAAGGGGCCATCGGCCACGCACCTTGGACGGCGCATTGACCTCCGCACTACCACAGCCGCATCACCAAATGCCCGTCTGGAGGTACAATCGCGTGCTCAAACTATGCCAGCCACAAGGGGCTACTTATCGCGGCCAATGAGAGCGGTCTTCGAACCTCGTTGAGCCAGGCCAAAGCGGCGCGACGCACTTGGTGTGCGAAAGCGTGGGCACAAATTAAGGCTCGGCCCGTCCAGCAATGCTCTACAAGTCTAGTACAAGGCACACGTCGTTCATGTTTCGTGTTGCTGGTTCTTAGCGCCACAAGGACTAGGCGTACTCAGTCGTCCACGCGGTCGGGGCACAGACACGGGTTGCAGCGGCAGACAGGGCAACCGCACGTGTGGCCGAGCACACGGCAGAGGCACGGGTCGCAGTGGCAGTCGGGGCAGGCGCACGTGTCCGTCGTCATCGTCGTCATCGTTGGCATGGTGCAGTTGTCGTAGCAGGCAAAAGGCAAACTGAAGTATCGCCCGACCCTGTCACGGTGATGGACTCGCCGTTGCACTGTCTGTTCTACGAAAGTTCCTACTACGTAGGTTCCCTCCCATCCATCAACCAGAAAACCTCGTCCCAGAAGAGAGCCGACCATACTGCAAGCGAGGGACATCGTCTTGTGAGCGTTAGCAAGAAAATCACCAAGGTCGTACATACTACTCTATCATCTGTGCTGCTTGCGAAACCCTTGAATGCCGAGCTCCAAATGCAGACCATTCCCGGATTGCAGCTTTGGCAACTCGGTCACTGACGGCTTGGGGCGCGGCTTGGGCGCGGTTGCCGTCCGAGCATGAATGAGTGGCAAGAGGCGATCGTTGACCGGCGGCGTTGGTCGGTGCGTCGACACGGGCGCCACCGACGGCGTCTTCTTGCGCGGCGGTCGCTTGACGACGGGCGGCGGCGTCGGCTTGGCCACCGCGAGCGCTGCTTTCTTGGACTCGAATGACTTCTTCAGATGTAGAAATTGCTCCATGTGTGTGTTTTTGGTCTTGGGCGCGGCTTTGGGCGTCGGACGCATGTTGGCTTTTACATGGTTGACCTTGCGCGTCGTCGCAGCCGCCTTCTTCTTCTGCGCCCACTGGTCGATCTTGATTTTTTGGAGCGTTTGGGCCTTGGCGCTGGCCTGCGCCTTGTCCATCCGCGTTGCTTTTTGCCGGTCGCGCTCGGGCATGCGCCGGAGCTCGGCGGCGCGCTGGAGCTGGCGCGGCTTGGGCTCGGGCACCGCCGTCAAGAACGTCTGCGGCTTCTTTTTCGCCTTGGCTTTGGACGGAACCGTGTACGCCGTCGGCCGCCCCGTCGACGTCTTTGCGAATTTGAGCGCCGGTTTCGACGGCAGCACCGACACGGCGGTCGACGGCCGCGCGTCGTCGTCTTGCTCGAGGCAAGCAATGCGTCGTTCGAGCTCGACGAGCTTGTCGAGGCTCGAGAGCGCTTTGGATACGTCGTCGGACCCGCTGAGCGCCAGTGCCCGCGGCGTTATTCGGCCCCGGCTGAGGTCCCGAAGCTGGTCTTCTTCTTGGTTTCCTCCCTAGATAACGACACGATTGACCATAGAGTTATGATGGCGCGGTCATACGCCCGCCAGCTTGCGCTCGAGCGCCGCGCGGCCGTCGCGGTAGCGTAAATGGCGCGCACGGAGCTCTTCTCGCTCGGCCAGCATGCCCTTGAGCTTGCGCAAGCAGTTGATATGTCGCGCCACCTTGTTTTCCAAGCGCATCTACCGGTATGTTTCGTAACATTGCTGGGAATGGACAATAAAACAATACGTACTTCTTCACGGCGCTCGTCGGCTTCGTACTGTCGAATGAACTCGGTCGTGACCTCGAGCGGCTTCATGTTTTCCTCTTCTTCGATCTGCTGCCGCCGCTCGTGTCGCTCGTCGGCGTCGACGATCGCTGCCACGCGCAAGTCTTCGCGCTTGAGTTTCTAGAGAGAGAGAGAGAGTTGTTGCTGAGCAACCATGCTAGCCGTCCGCGACGGTACTTTGGTCTTGATGAGCGCGGCCTTGAGCGCGGCTTCGTTGGCGAGCTTGTGCCAATTGAGAAGCTTCATTTCTTGCTTAATCTCGTCGAGCTGCGACGAGTGCCCGCCCCGCCGGGGGCGCGCGTACTCGGCCGCGATCGCTTCGACCCGGGCATCCTCGTCGTCGTCGTCATCCTCGTCGTCGTCGTCATCCTCGTCGTCGCTCGTCGCAGGCTTGAAGGCCTCGAGCTCCTTGACCCAGCCCGAGTACGTCGATGCGACCGCCATCGGCCCGCAAGGCGTCGCAAAGCTAAATTTATGCTCCCCACGCAATCATCCGAAGAAACCCTCGATTCGACTATATATATATTGACGCCAGCGATTTGACGTGGAGATGAACTAACTAACGACGACTAGAGTAGCACGCTGGACACCTGCAGCGCATCAAAGAAGCTCTCGACACGATGCACTTGGTGCGTCTCGATCGCATGGGCGAGGTGCAAATGTGACGAGTCGCTTGCGTTTGGCGGCGCGAGCGAGTGCACGACCACTGTCACATGACACGTCGAGGCCGTCACGCTCTCAATCCGCAGCCTACGCCATCCAACGTTCCATGAGCCAAGTTGACGCCAGTCGATCAAAGATATGTTTACCAGCCGCTCGAGTTGTCGTGAATCGTGTCGTCGCCAAGGGGAAATCGGTCGTCTTCGAGGATCGAGCGCCAGACCAGCACGTCATGGCCGTCGAGTGCAGTGCGCAAGAGCGCGAGCCGGCTTTCAAAGACGGATGCTGCGTATTTCGCGTAGCCCAGATCGTCCCCCACCTCTTCTAGACCCTAACCACATGTGAGATAACGACCATTACTAGTTTCGTTGTTGCGTACCGTGTAGTCGGGCGCCGCCTTGCCGCACAAGCGCTGCCAGAGCGCTGCGACCGCCGCCGAGGCCGAGAGAGCAACCGGTCGACTGTAGACGATCTCAACGGCGCCGGAGATGCTATCGCGCCGGACGGCCTCGCAGCGCATCGGACCATCGAGGAGGCCAAAGCGCAGCAGCGTCGTGTTGAGCGACGACACTTCCCGCGTCACGAGCGCGCGGATGCTCGTGCGTCGACATGGTGCATCGGTGAGGCTGTAGAACGGCAGAGTCTTGTCGCTTTGCAGCTCCTATCGAATGCGTCAGCATGGCGAGGGATGCATGAGACGAGGCTACCGGGTGGCGCGGGCGCTTGGCGACGATGCGCTGAAAGGCGTGGGCCATCGAGAGCTGACCGGTCACGGCTTCGCGCAGTTTGTGGTTTTCCTGGATCGAGCGCTGGAGCTGCGTCGCTTGGCGGCGCGCGCGCTGCTGCCACGCCGACGACGCCTCGTCTTTATGCAGCTGCGTCGTCTGGAGCGCCTCGAGGCGCTCAGTGAGCGACGCGGCAGTCTCCCGGAGCGTGTCGAGCTCGGACTTGAGCTTGGCGCGGTGGCGGCGGTCGCGCGCCTGTCGCAGCGTCGTTTTGGCCGACTCGTCGTGCTGGTCTTTGTCGTCGCTGGCGGGAAAGAAGCACTCGGTCAGGAACGCGTCGTCGGCCAACGCGTCACTTGGGGCGAACGCGTCGTCAAGCAAGAGCGACGTCAAGGCGGCGTCGCGGCCAAAGAATGCATCGTCCATGATCGTCGTACTCGCACTGGTGAGGATCGTTGCTACTCGTAGTTAGTTAGTCATGCCGACGACTGGTGGTGCTACCTGCTGGTGTCATGCCCGTCGAAAATTGCACTCTGACCCCGATCCAGTGGTGCAATGACAGTCATTCTAGGCGGCACCAACATTCGACGTGGAGCTATTACTGCGATTCTCATCGTATACGACAAGTAGGTATTTGTAGCCGCCTATGCATCCGCCACGTGGCAAATCGGGCGCGCAACTCGTTTTCGTAACGTTTCCCGCGCGCGCCGCTGGCCATCAACACCAACATTCTAAAATGTTTTTTTCATTTGCTCGTTTGACACGCCGTCGTCGCTGAACGCTGGCGCGCGGACCTTGGACCTTGGACCTTGGACCGACAAGCTTCGCTCTCGTTCTTGTGCGCGACGAATGTGTGTGTGATGTCGTTGGCGTCGGAATTACCCACCTGGCGTGATCACGCTCGAAGTCTGCAATAATAATAGCGTGCCGCAGATTCGCAGCGACTTCGGTTGGGCCACAGTAGCTAACCACGGTATGCAGTGCGATACGACTTGGATAGCGTCAGCTAGTGACGGCCATGTCTCTACCTTGGCGCGAGGTGTGGTGCATTCATGCACTATCAAGGATACGAAAATCGGTTTTGTACCAATTTAAGGGCTTTGATGAAGGCTTGATGATGCCATATTTAGTTACTAGACAACCTCGTACGTGAACAAAGATGATGTTATCCGACGGCTCTGCGTCGATGTGATGATTGCATTCCCTGGACAGAGTATAGCACAATGAAAATCAGTATTTGTGTTGACGAAAGCACGCAAAACGCGAAAATCGGCGACTTTCGGAAGCGCTACACCGTATGCAGCCGCTGTCAAGGGTGTCGCAGTGGACAACATGCGTCCGCTCGTGGTACTGTACCTTTTCATCCGAGTACCACACGATCACGACCACCGCCATGGCCATAAACAGGTGACACTGCCTGGGCGAACGGAGAGGAACGAGTAGAAAATCGTGCTTGAATGATACACGGGATCTTGCTTCATGACTGATGTCCAGTGAAAGCGCAGGACGTGGAGGACGGCGGAACGCGGTGATGATCCCACGTGGAAGCGCGCCGTCGTACGTGGACCAAGAGGGACCAAGACGTTTAAAAATCTCTGTGTGGGCGCAGCAAGCGTGTTGTAGCTGTCCGATCATTGCAAGCTGTTAGTCGATCCGTGTCGGAATGACCTTCATAGAGTGTCGGCAAGAGATATTTTCGTAACGCTTCTTGTCTATGAGCTTGCCACGTCATTTGACGGTACTAGTAGAAGGCGTCAAAAAAGGAGGACCGCATCCGATAGAGCCCGCTGCAGGCAACGCCGTTGGAAGCGTGCCACATACTGGCGTTGGTAGAGTCGATATATGATGGAAAGACGTCGTCCCGTCGTTGCGCGAGCGAATTCATTTCGGTTCATTTTGCTGCAGTACAAGCATGTCCAACAGACCTGCTTTGGTTGCCAAGGTGCCGATCGCCTTCGCACACTGGACATGCCTAACGTTAGTGTAAGAACATGGTGTAAGAATCAACATACTGCCTTCTCGTATTCGAGTGGTCAGCTGTCTGAAGACTGAGACGAAACAAGCGCACTTTAGTCAACACTACCAGGTCTCCTCTTGTTGAGAGCGTTGATATTCTTCAAGGGAATTCATGTAGTACTCCCTTGATATGGTTTAACGAGGAAACTACACGTATGGACTACTTCGAAATCAACCGCTGCGCTGCCGATGGCTGCGCCGGCGCCGACCGATCAACGACCGACGACCGCAGCGCCGCAAAGCCTTCGCTGGAGGTGCGGCCCGTGCTCAAGGCCGTATGGGCTGCTCGACTACCGCATATCGCGGTGGCAGACATGACGCCGACTGACCGACCGTCTTAGCGACGGTCCACGCTTCCATGACCTTCAAGAAAATGACAACATCGCGACCATCAAAAATCCCCCAAAAACAAATGTTGTCGATGACAAGCGTATTTGTCATCCTCTGAGTGAGTCTGCTTGCAGACAACATTGACATTGCTAGCTACATGTAGTATATACTAGTAAGTAGTGATAGACTTCCGATCGACACTTTACTATACCCCGACCGCTCATATGCGTTTCGTTTGCACAAGCTAAACTACATTTCGTCATGACTCTTGATTTCGAAGGAATTTGCCCCGCGAGAAATCTTTCTCACATTATCGTGTGCATTTGCTCCTTCCACACAAGTATACCCCCAGCGTCCTGCACACAGCGTCCTGCATGCAATGAGCGATACCGAGAATGAGATTCCTTGGCTAGCGACAGACAATCATGACAATATTATCAGCACCATTGACACCACGAGACGTAGAAAAGCATCATCTTTGTATTGCTCGTAAGGCCATCGCGGGGACGACCAGTGTTCGCGCAGTAGCAAGAGCGCGTCGCGCACGGTGCGCATCGTGAACGAGCAACCGTACCTAGCTCCGATGACGCGGCAGTTTAGCATTGATCAACGGCGCCACATTAGACGCCATCACTTTTGTCGTAGCGGCCGTCCGACGAGAGATAAGCAAGACAGCCACTGCCGACGCAAGCCCGACGAGCGAGGAATGCCATGATCACTCATTCAACATCCTTGTTACCCCAAGAGGGGTAAAACACTGGCATAGACCAAGCGAGACCCACCTCGTTGCGCTCTGTTGGGCTCATGCTTCATGCAGGCGTCCTCGCCTTGAGACTAGTGTCATCTTCGGCAAAGATTTACATACATCGACCAGGATGGCCCG